GGGTGTGTCTCCAAACGTTGTGAGGGTGTTCAGTTTATCGAATTGGTTTTGGTCACGTATTTCAAGGAGTAGATCTCCACTGGCCATTTTGGTAACCTTGTACCCGGCACCGAGAGTTTCGGTTAAGCATCTAGAAACTACGAAGGGGGATACAGTTCTGGCTTGCTTGTTAGTTTTTTCGCAGTGTATAACGTGGAAATGAGGAAAGGTTTGTCTTGGCCGGAGGAAAAAATTGATATCTTCGGTGCGTACCCGCTTTGAGGAGGCACGATCACTTAATAGGGGAAATGCTTTATGCATGCCAGTTTAATTTTCTTCAGAAGCGTTGGCGGCCACCCACCACGGAGCCCAACAAGGGGACGCTACAAGTTTGTGGATGCTAAAACCTGCAGACGCCAGCCGTACAACGCAACTATAACCCAATGCGCCTAGGCCAAGGTAGGCTATTTGCACAGGGTTAACCCTTGCCGCCAGGAAGTTTGGAAGTAAACAGAAGAAAGTAGAAGACAGGACAGATGAACAGTAAGAGATAAAGACGAAGATGTAGGAGAGAGAGATAGGAAAAGGCGACTGCCGATTCCCCTGGGTGGGTCAGCCCAGGGGTGCCGTCTACGTGAAGCCGGGGCCAAAGAGGTGTGTTGCCTCTGCCGGGGGGCCTTAAAGGTCCAATCACCCAGCTTTGGCTCAACCCCCAGGATCCCCTTTTCCCCGGACACGGCAAAGCCACGCACGGCTAGGCGTGGGAGGGAGCCGAAACTCCCCCGTTAGCTCGGGTCCGTGGTGTCGCTACACACCAAACGCCTACTTGCGCAGGCGCCCCTGCGGGGAGGTCAGGCATACATGACATTGATATCAATATTTTCACGTTACAACCTGGTACCTAAGTATTTCCACAGTCAAATTATGCAATAATAATTTTGATGAGTAGCAGCTCAGCAAAACAGCCGGGAGCTCACTATGAATGTAGCATGATAGTCATGGAATACATGACCCGCATTTCATTATTTTCATGTCACCAACCATGAAATCTCTCTTGTCCAGTTGCCTCATTCAATGCTGAGTCTCGTATATATAAACCTAAACAAACGGCAGTGAGCTAATCACGAGTGTGGCATGAAAATCGCAGCGCATGTGACATTCATGACATTTATTTTCAATTTACTACATGTCATACATGTTTGTCCTACACACACATTGAGAACTACTACTTTTTTGCTGTCAAGCGAGTGAGGTGGCCGCCAGCTCACCGTGAATCGGCACAGGGGTCATGGTGCAAAAATGAGTTAACATGAGTGTCATTACTTTCACGTAATCACCAGTTAGTCATATTCATCATGCAGTCCATTCAAGCAAAAGTAATTTTGAAAATATCAGTGCAGTGAAACGGTCACGTAGAGGTCAACTTGTGCGTGACCTAGAAGTCACAAAATACATTACAGTCATTTATTTATTTATTGTTTCCACGTGTTATTTCGATTTGTAAAACAGTCACGTTCCACAATGTCCATTTCGCTGAATATCGATCAATTTGAACAGCCGTGAGCCCTCCAAGACTGTCATGTAAATCACAACATACACGACATGCATGTGGTGATATAAACACCAGGACTTGTAACTTGGGCTCGTCGTACATTCTTGTGATGGCATACAAACTTTGGTATATAAGAAGTTAAAAACGGCCACAAAAGTTCCCACACCACAAAAGGCAAATCATGTCGTCTATCACATGCATGTCACGATTTTGCATACATACGGATGCATACATCCTAATAATGAAGTATCCGGGATAACACAAAGTCACGATATTCGCAGAACTTCGCATTTAAACACCAGCATTGGCAGCGCTAGCTCGACTAATGTAAAGAATAAAAATCAAGTCGTAGCCCAAGTGTATTCCAATCATTGTGCTTGAAAATCATAATTTCCACCCTATAGCCACGCTAAATTTTAAAACCACTTTCAAAAAGAACCATATCCACAAACAAGGCTGTGCAACATCAATTGTGGTTTCAATAATGACTATGTACCTTAAAAATTAGATCATTAAAATTATTCACATTTCTGAAAGACGCAACATGTCCTGTTTTCCCCTTTTACAGCCGTCTAATACAAAGACCCATTGCCTTCCTAGGACTGAGCAATTTACATTTAAGCGTTGCTGTACCCGAAGGAATGCCCCGATGAAAGTTTTGTAAAATACTGACTTAATCGCACCATAAGGTGCTTTTTATTTTGACGATACTACCCCTGGGATCTAGCGTAAGTGCTGAAGTTATGTCAGACCGTGGATAACCCTTTTTGCATGTTCAGTGGACATTCGGGCGAAGCCCAGGACGTGTACACACTACTACCCTTACAAAAGTACGTTGATCCACCTCAAAAGGCTTGCTTGATATGTGGGGTTTTAACATGCCAAAACCACCATATGATCATGAGAGACGCCGTAGAGAAGAGCTTCAGAAATTTGGACCACCTGGGGTTCCTTAACGTGCACCCAAATCTGAGCTCACGGGCCTAAAACATTTCCGCCTCTAACAGTAATGCAGCCGCCGCAGCCGGGATTCAATCCCGCGACAACTCTGAAGGTTTGGCTTGCAGCCCAAAAATGCAGCCTGGATTCACCGACCAACCGCTTCGCACGAAACTGATTCCCACAAATGTGTGATGCCTCCAAAGTGTTCACTTAAAAACCTATATATTCGTGGTTTCTCGTACAACTGTAGTTGCGACGTAGCTTGGGAAGCTCAATATTGCTAAGCCCACTGTGCGCATTAATAAATATAAAAAATCACAGCGTATCTACGGAGAGAATTATGTTGAGTGGGCGAAGCTTCGGGGGTACATCGGTAAAGCCAAAATCCTCCGTAAATATTGCCCAGTCAATCATCTTAGAAAAACGGCAAGCACGTGCTGCAGCCGTTTTCCGAGCCCTCCACTCGGCCCCCTTATCTTCTTTCGCTCATAGTTGAAGGACACAGACTGCCGGTGAAAGACGAAGCGCGCCAAGAGTGAATTCATTTGAACGCAAGAGTGGTCTCCTTCACATGACAGCCCACATCGTAGTAGAATGAGTGCCTCAGCACAATCTATTCGGCAATCCGAGTTTTAGCAGATGTATGGACGAATGCTATGTGCGCACCTTTCATAGCACTGCGGTTACAAGTGTTCCACAATGCTTGCAAGAGAGATATATAAGGAACTTTCTTTTTATGTGTGTCTTAAGAAAAATGTCTTCCTTTCACAGGTTAGAATTTTTAAGCTCATTTCTGAAAAATATAACCGGATACACATTCTTAGAACAGTAATGTCATACAGTACATGCATCATAAAATTATTTCACTACACGTATTCGAATGCCTTTGTCAGGTGTATGTCGACAAAAAAATAGAGATACTGAAACGTATCTCAAAAATACTACCACGACACACTTGCATGGCGATACGGCCCAGACCTAGTGCTTGTAAACCTTTTTTACCTCCGCACATGCTGCCGAATGAACAATAGACCAGATGCTTAAAATTTCACGGATGCCTCCGTTTGCCGTGGATTTTTCGCCATTCTGCCATCTCTTCCTGATATCAATTAGAAAGACGAAGCTACTTTGCATAAAGAGCAATCTTAAATAAGGCTAAGTCATTCAGTATATATTAAAATTAAGGCTGTTAGTTGAAACCGTATTCAGAAATTTTGCGCAGTTTCTTCGTTGGCATGTGCTTTAAAGCTTAGTGCAGTGGCTGCATCTGTATAATCCAAATGCATTGAAAAATAAAAAAATAATGGTTTTTGGTTTTCCTAAAAACAGGTATCACCGCTGTAAATTCAGCTTGCTCACGAAGGAACGTTGTCGTTATCTCGGGTAACAGAGACTTCAAGTTGGTTGTTTCGACGGTCGCTCATGAACTGGGACATGCGTAAGTTTTGAACGAAATTTAATTTGGACAAGCAAGTATAGAGTTTTAATGACCGTTATTTACGTTAGCCAGAGCGCTTTTGGCGTACATTCGTTTTTCTATATATTGCTACACCCTCAATTTTATGTGTTATGCTGCTGGCACATAGGTTTCACTAATTCATGCTGGATTGTATGAGAGCATCCTAGATGGTTTTCAGATCACCTATTTGGCTGGCAAGTGCAAACGCGAAAAGCTGAGTTCGGAAACGAAGTCGGCCATTAGCAATAACGCACGAATCTTCAACGCCACGTATTGAATTGCCGACGCCCGTTGCCATGAATAAAATACTAGATGGTTGATGCCTTGTTCGCCGATATCAGTGTACAGCCCGTATTACTTGCTGTAACTTGCATTTCAACTTCCCGGCTACAAATTTGAGCAAACGAAGTTTCGTTTCGACCATGACGCCTCTGCCTTTGACAAAGCCACTGCCACGTGACATCTTGTGTAGACGGTTAGCGTTCATGTTCCGGATGGCCCCGTCAAGTAGTGAACCCAGAGACAGTCGTGAAGGAGACGTCAACGCCAAGCTCGGTTCGCGAGCTAGCCGCAGACTACTAAGGCTGACTACAAGGGGCTTTAAACGATGAGATTCATAAGACCAAGGCCGCTAACACTACTGCGACAACTAAAACAGCCACAGTGCCAACAGTTACCACTTGAATAACGAATTGATGGAGCTGCAGGGGAGCCACCGACTCTGCCAGGATCACCATGCGAAGATCCAGAAGGCTACTTGAAGAAATACAACCACGTTGCTCTAACAGTAATAGGGACTGTGATGTGAAGATGGCACTGGAACCTGGTTTGAGGACAAAGAGGACACCTTGAGCCCTTGACTACCTGCTACGTATTTCGCACTACAATCTTTGGAAGCTTGACAAATGTCATGCGTAAGGAAATGGCCGAAAACCTGCCAAAAAGCAATGTACAGCTCCCAAACGAAAACGTCGGAATGAAAATCGAGGAAACGACTCGCCGATTCAGTCACGACAACTGTGCCAAGTCGGAGGAGAAAAAGCTCCGTTTCCTAATGCAGGGAGTGTAGAAAAACTGATTGCGGGACTTCTCCGCAACCCACACAAGACTATCGATAAAATCGATGGTCTTGTGCGGGTCCATCTTGTGCGATGATCCATCGAGCGGTAAAGGCAGTACACCTCTGTCCTCAGACAACCAGCTGTGCTAATGTTCAAGCCCATGTCGTAATTAGTGAGTCTACTGTAATTCCCGATCTACTGTCGCAATGCCTTCGATGAACTTCTACGTGTCCGTACTCCTTTTTTGGCTATATATTTAGCACGTGTATGACGCAGAAAGCGGTTATCGTAAATTATTTCCAGATATTTTGCTGAGTCTGCTTGTGGTATACTGTGCACGTTGCAAGTTAGTCTCTTAATAACTTGGTTATTCAACAGGAAAAAATATAAATGTGCTTTTTTTACCTTTGAAAAATGAACGAATAGCCTGTAACCAAATTTTAATGGTGCACATATACGATTGTTAGTGAGTACTTAGCGAATGCTTATCTGAAGCGAAAGATGCTATTATATATATATATAATATATATATATATTATATATATATATATATATATACGCAGCTGGTTGAGCATACGTTATTGTCGAAGTAGTAGTAATAGTACCACACCATTACCACCACCCATCAAAGTGTTATAGTGGTTATCGGGCTCTACTGCTGACCCGAAAGGGGCTCGATGAAATCCTAGTCACGGCAGGCGCATTTTTGATGGGGGCGAGAATCATTTAGGCCCGTGTATATAAACCTACTTCCACGTGAAAAACCTCGGGAGGTATGAATTTTCAGAGGCCTCCCCCACAGCGTACTTAATAATCATATCATGATATTATGATGGCGAAGGCTAGATAATATTATTATATTAAAATTCACCACTCAATCGCTTTGCACAAATGGTTAACCAGCGAAAGGTGAAACATGCGGCTCCGGTGTTGAGCACTGGGTTGACCTCGACGTGGCACTGCCACGTTATTGGGAACGTTTCATATCCTGAGCTAATTTGGTGACGGGATTTGCAGGATAAGCCAGCCACCTGCGATAGCATTCCCGTTCCCGATTTGGAGTAGCTTGGAAGGCTGCCAGAACATTGATACGCAGTTTTTGCCGGCAGTCAGCCTTCCGGGCCAGTTTTTGAGCTCGGAGGGCATCATCGTCCCAGTGAATGCAAGTTCTCTCACGTTTCGGCGCTCTTCTAGAGGTGTCAGTGGCATACCCATGTGAAATGTTTCAAGAGAGACTAATATGCGCTCGTTCAGCGTCACGACAGAATGGGCGACGTCATTTATAACGCAGCCAATGGCACGCGTGCTTGAATAGGACGCTGTGAACGACGTAACTGATAACACAGCCAATGAGCACCACTAGTGACACCACTGCCGGACGGTTTTGTTTCTCCTAGTAATCTTGAGCTTTCCATGTTGTGTTATTTATACAATTATAGTTAAAATAATAATATTATCTTTTTATTAGCAGCAGCGGTAGAAATAGAATTAGTATAAGAAGCCGTAAAAGAACAACAGAAAACACAGGTCAAACAAGCACAACGCAAGTGTTTAAAGGGGAAAATGTACATAATGATCAAAACAAGTTTCTCTACGAAATACCGAGAATGCTGTTCGAACTTTCGCCCCACCGTGGTGGTCTAGTGGCTAAGGTACTCGGCTGCTGACCCGCAGGTCGCGGGATCGAATCCTGGCTGCGGCGGCTGCATTTCCAATGTAGGCGGAATCGTTGTAGGCCCGTGTGCTCAGATATGGGTGCACGTTAAAGAATCCCCGGTGGTCGAAATTTCCGGAGCCCTCCGCTACGGTGTCTCTCATAATCATATGGTGGTTTTGGGACGTTTAACCCCACATATCGATCAATCTAGTTCGAACATTCATTACTACAATATTTAGGCACCTTGTTCATGCATAAGTATGGCTGTAATAAAACACTCTTAAGCTTACGCCTCACTACCCGAAAGTGAACTTTTTTTTTTGCTTTAAACTTCTAGCACTAGTAGCTACAGGCGATCAAAGTTGCGCTAGTTCCAGAAACTAACTAGCTGACTTCGTTAGTCGCTCTCACAAAGCGAATTCATCTTATGGAGAATTAGAGATTAGCATATAAAATATTTTTTCTATAAGTCTAGGTGCTGTTCACGATGGCGTCGGTACATCGCGGCAATGCTCAGCAAGTGAGCGGCACCTTATGGCCCCATCCTTGGGTTTCAACCGAATGTTGACATTTTCCACATGCAGCAAGAGAGACATCGACACATTCTTGTCGTGAGTTTTCTCTTAACATTTGTTATGCAAACAATAAGTGGTAAAATATAGTAATGAAATAAGAAGAAATATATTGGTGGTTTTGTACACACTTGGCTCGACTGCTGAAAGCAATAGAAGAGAAAATAATAGTACAGTGGTGCATCACTTAGCTGTGACTTAGAATGGTTAGCAACAATTTATTTTTGTTTGGCTCGCAAAGCTATTTCACTTGTCCCCTCCGCTTATTGCTTCATTTCCGTGTTTTTTAAAGATAATAATGTAGGAGAAAGAATGCTTGATCGATTGATTAATTAAAACTTCATTTTTTGAATGATTAAACTTCAATTTGATTGAATGAAACTAAAATAAAGTTTTAATCAATCAAAATAAGGGGTAATGATAAGTTTATTCTACTTCTTGTTGCTTTGAAGCATTAGTGGACCGAGTTAGTGTTAAGAAAAGACAATAATGTTTCGGGACTATACAATATTGATAGAAAGGTTATTTTGAGTTTGTCTCAACAGAATTTTCTTCTGCCACAATAACGCCAAGCTGTACAAATTGTTGTCTTGCTAGGAACACATACCTGTAGACACCACTTCGAAGATTTTTTTTTTCAAAAAAGAACTCACCACACATCATCTGTGTTCATTTATAGTACGAGCCCAGATTTTTTACCAGATTCAGTGAGCGTATTCTTTAGGCAAAAATGGGAAGTTCATTTGCATCTCATTTTATGCAGGACGAAGAACAGCTCTTGTTTGTTCAGCCGTAGATGCCCAAGTGCTCCCATATCAAACCACGAGCAACAGAAAAGGAGAAATAATCAATGCTTGAGTCACAAGAACCAAACTGAAGTGTTCTTGAATGCTACCGTAAGAATAATTTTTTTAGCATTCATTTAATAAGGTAAACAAATTAATTGCACTCGTGTTATTAAGGCGTATGCTATAGTGAAAGTAAAGAAAAAGTATTATTGTGAATTCTCTGGTTTTCAAATATTGATTATTTTTTTTCAGTCAATAACCTTGTTTTCATATTCCCCTTTTCATTTTGTACACTTTAGAGGGCTTACCGGGCGTACAAGCTGCTACGAGCTCAGTTTGTGACTTTGTGGAAGTAGCATGATGGGACAATAACGGCGTTTGAAAAAGCACGCACGACAGCTTTCAATTGCTGATTTAGATTATATGACTGATCACTTAGCGAGAGTGCAGACCTTAGTTTCGGACCCGGCTACGCTGGATTGCGTACCGTCAGAAAGTATTAGCACACACAGTGGAAATCAGTCGTTTCGTAGCTTCACAGCTTCACCTTGGTGACAAAAATTTGCATACAATAGTTTGAGGCTCATGATTTGTTGGCGATCTATGATTGTTGATTGTTGATTATGATTTGTTGGCCCTGGTACAATGAAAAAGAAAGGTAGGAAGTGCATCCGATATATATATAACAGCCTGATCAAAAGGTATTCTAGAACAGTACCTTAGGAGGGCGTTGTTTTGTACAAGACGCCGAAGCTGACTATGCTTGGTCTGGAAAGCTGAGTAGCTTTTCCCTTTTCGCTTTGTAGCACTCTTCATCAGCTGCTTCCTCGTGCTACTTCGAAAATCTCCTTTTTCCGACTTGCTCACTGCTATAATCAAATACTTTGGTGTGTTCTGCCAGTTATGCGTTATTAGGTTTATGGCGATTTACAGACGCCACTCGAGTCACGCGGAATCCAGATTTCGAAGTGCGTTCTTCCTGGCAAGGACAAAGTGCTAGCATAGGGTTTTTAAAACAAGACTAGCAGCCGCATAGATTTCGAATGTTTCAGAGAATCTTTACCTGTCTTAAAAACACAGACGTTTTGGTATAATAGCGAACGCAAGAATAACTTGTGTTCGCCATGCCAGTCCCACAAAACTGCAAGACGTGATCTCGCTTGCTATACTTCGGTGTTGTCGTAGGGACATTTATTGCATTTCAATGACAAATGCCTTCTTTATGAAACGATTTTGCTGTACCTCGAAACCTTTTGCTGTGCAGCAACTGCGAAGAAGCCAGCGATGCCTATCCGCCTCTGCCCGTACCACCAGATGCGATAACGCGGTTTTACTGCCAACGCCCTTCTGGTATAGAATGCGATGAGCGGCCGCACAACATAACCAAATAGCTTTCCGACACTGTATCGGGAAATCGACGTCCAGCACATTCACCATTGCAGCACGCTATGCATCCATGCTAAGGCCCCAATTAAATGCTTTTGATAATTTGCCTGATATCATCATCATCATCATCATCATCATCATCATCATCATCATCATCATCATCATCATCCGACTGACTATACCCACTGAAAGACAAAGGCCTCTCCCATGTTCGGCCAGTCAAAGCGGTATTTTGCTAGCTGCTGCCACGTTACGGGCAAACTTCTTAATCTTATCTGCCCATCTAAAATTTTGTCTCTCTCTCACTCCTTTGCCTTCAGTTGAAATCCAGTCTGTGATCCTTAATGACCAGCAGTTATCTTGCTTTTGCACTACGTGCCCTGCCCTTCATCATTTCTTTTTCTTGATTTGGACTATGATGTGCCTAATCCCCGTTTGTTCCCTGACACACTCTGCTCTCTTCTTCACCCTTAAGGTTACACCTATCATTTTCCTTTCCATTGCTCGCTGCTTCACCATTAGGTTATGTTTAACGCTCTTTGTAATCCACCAGGTTCCTGCCCCGTTGCCTGATGTTAACGGGGGTAATTACAGAAACTGTTTTATTAAACAACACGGAAGTCTTGTAATACATGAATTACGGCTGTGAAGATGGTGTCACAACCAGTATCCAGAAGATGGTAGACCGTTATTTTTTCCACTATACAAACTTTTTGGCAAAATTCGCTGGAAGCCTCAACACAGTCTAATGAAGGAATCTAAAACATGAGAATGTCGTATTTAAATTAACGAATCTGAAACATGAGAATGTCATATTTGAACTTTGAGAATGATTGGGGGAATAATTAAAGTAAAAATTACCAAGGAAGGCAACAATGATGGTGGAGGCTGCAACACACGGGTTCCTCAACAATACAGACTGTCTTTTTATTTTATGCACACGTGGCTCTTGTAAGAATGATTCTCTGTCCTTGAGCTAAGGTATTCTGGCTCTCTTTTTTTTTGTCAAATAAAAACGAAGTGCCGAAGAAGCTATAAAGTGGTTGCAAACCATATTTTTCACTTACCACTAATTACAACTATGGCAACAATTGCCTAAGGAGCGAAATACTTGAAGCCACGCAAACTGCGTCATCAGGCCAACTGCTTATTGTATGCATATAAAATGTTGCCTGCATTTTCATAACAGATAAATCCTCATCAATCGACACACAAGGTGTGTATTCACGTCAAATATACAGCTGTTTGAATAATCTGCGCTAGGTGTATCATAAAGTTTCATGCATTTTAAAAAAAGCCAGGATGAAACAAAAAGGGGTGCTACGTTGGCATAATGAAGTAATCCGATGTTGCAGAACAAACGCTAAACCTTTTGTATATATTGTTACGGGAAGGAGACTGACTCAAAGGGGTAGTCACCAATGTATTTTCAGCCGGTTAGGCGAGCAGCGCCAGCCACACAGATTAGCTCGCGCCAGTCTATCTCCTTCGTCTTCTTTAGCTCCATGCACTGGCACGTAGCAAGACCCCCGGCGGCGGAGGCACCGTCCCGGTGCTTTAAAGGTCGTTATCTGACGCATTATTGTAGGGCTTGATCCGCGAGACGTGTACGATATCACTGGGCCGCATAGTAGATGATGATGGACAGATGGGGCTGATCTCGTAAGTGGCAGGTGTTACTTGACGAAATATACGGTAGGGTCCCGTGTAATGAGACAGAAGTTTTTCGGATAGGCCCAGCCGACGATGAGGGGACCAGAGTAAAACGAGGGTACCGGGAGCAAAATGTACGTCTCTATGTTCCGCATCGTACCGACGGCATTGGTTGGTTTGCGACGCCATCAGCCGAGCGCGAGCGAGCTGACGGGCATGATCGGCTCGCGCAATCGCGTCGCGGGCATGCTCGGTGGTGGACGAGGTGTGAGCTGAGATGACTGTGTCCAGTGGTAAAGTCGGCTCTCTTCCGTACAATAAGTAGAACGGCGAAAAGCCCGCTGTGTCGTGACGAGATGAATTATACGCGAAAGTTGCGTAGGGTAAGGCAAGGTCCCAGTCTCGGTGGTCGGGCGACACGTACATAGCGAGCATATTTATTAAAGTGCGGTTAAATCGTTCCGTGAGGCCGTTTGTTTGAGGGTGGTAAGCGGTTGTCAGTGTGTGTTGTGTGGAACAAGAACGCAGAATGTCGGCGATGACTTGGGATAGAAATGTACGGCCATGGTCTGTAAGAAGCTGTCTCGGAGCACCGTGAATCAATTTAACGTCCCGTAACAAGAAGTCAGCGACGTCGGTTGCACAGCTGGTCGGTAGAGCTCGCGTAATAGCGTAGCGTGTAGCGTAGTCTGTAATAACGGCTATCTATTTGTTTCCCAATGTTGATGTGGGAAAAGGACCAAGCAAGTCCAACTCAACACGGTAAAATGGTTCCGTTTTGTCGGTATCGTCAAAAGAGGATTTTTGGTCAGTCCGAGCGATGCAGCGCCACCTCCGGGGGCTGCAACGCTTAGTTTTCCGTCGGGGAACCTCGTGGGAAGGCGGCGGAAGATGGGCGGCGGGGCTGTGAAGAACGAGACTGGCGACGTTGGGCGGATGGAGAGCGGGAGTAGCGTTGTTCAGAAGCAGGTTCTTGGGCAAAATGGTCGCGGCTGGTCTCATGGCGATAGGCAGGACGTGCATAGAAGGGACGAGAGGACGGTTGTGCAGGAGGACCCCAGCGACTTCTGCAATGGCGAGAAATGTGCCCGATTCTGTGACACGAGAAGCATGTCGGCTTGTCATCGTGTGTTCGCCATGCGGACGGATTACGGAACGTTGAGGGAGGGCCGGTCGGGAAGGGACGTGCAGGCGTGTATCGGGGCTGGTAGTCGGTGCGGGTAGGTAGGCGGTGAAATAGAGTGAATTCCCAAGCTGGCGATTTCCTGCCAGACGACTGCTTGAATGAGAGGCAACGTAATTGGCGGAGAGGGGTCGGGGGACGTTGATCCCACCTTAGCTGGAGCAGCCCCTTCAAGCTCCCGCCTGACGATTCGCGTCAAGTTGTCACAGGTGTCTGGTGGATGATATGTGTCGAGACACGAGGACGTCGCAGTGGTGTTCGGGAGGCGCTGGAACTGATGGGACATGCGTCTGCTTTTGGCTTGTTGGAACCGGCGGCATTTTTGAATGATCGCATTAACAGATGACACATTGTTGAATACCAACAAGTTGAACGCATCGTCGGCGATACCCTTTCGGATATGCGCAACTTTTTCAGGTTCAGACATATTTTCGTCAGCTTGGCGGCATAGTGAAAAAACAGCCTGAATATAACCGATGTAGGGCTCCATGGAAGATTGTGCGCGAGTCGACAACTCATTTTTCGCAGCTTCACGAGGACCAGAGATGTTGCCAAAAGTTCACGGATCTGTGCCTTGAAGCTGTCCCAGCTTGTTATGCCATGCTCGTGGTTATCAAATCAAACACGAGGGGTTCCGTCGAGGTAAAAGATGACGTTTGCGAGCATAAGAGTGGGATCTCACCTGCAAGTGGCGCTGACGCGTTCGTAGAGGCGTAGCCACTGGTCGACGTCGGAACCCTCGCTGCCCGAGAACACGCAGGGGTCTTAGAGCGCGGGAAGCGTCACGAAAGTTGTTGCGGGCGCTGGGTTGACAGGTTGGGCAGAAGGGGGAGCGACCGGAGAGGATGTAGCCGAGTCTTTGGGTCGTCATGTTGTAAGCCGCGAGGAAGCGTCCGCTTCGGAGTTCCGTGGCGAGGACGGGGATCGCACAACTCCACCAAATATGTTACGTGAAGGAGACTGACTCAGAGGGGTAGTCACCGATGTATTTTCAGCCGGTTAGGCGAGCAGCGCCAGCCACACAGATTATCTCGTGCCAGTCTATCTCCTTCGTCTTCTTCAGCTCCATGCACTGGCACGTAGCAATATTATTTGTGTTCAACTTGCTACTGAAAAAACTAAGATTAAGCATGCTTTCTTGGTTACTCAGCCTAACGGACTGGTAATCACTTATAAAAGCTAAATATGCCAAAGTTTCAGAAAATATGCTGCAACGTTGCCTTGCACGTTTTCTGATGGCTACTAAATAAAAAGTCCCTTAGGCAACCATTGTTAATTAACAAACCTGGCATATTCGAAGAGACAATCGAAGAACATTTTGTAATTTCCGAAGTGTCTTCGGCGAAAGCTTTTGCCCATTTTACAGGCTAAGCCATCGTTTTTTCGTTTTTTTTGTGTGTGCGCATGACACTCCCAGTGGAATTGGCACAAGTTTTTGCCGAACACACGTTGGAATTTAGTAAGTTTCCTTCAAATCTTGCGACGTAGATTAACAAAGTATGGTTCGAAGTGAACAATGGATTGATCATTCACCAATTCCTCGCAATCTTGCTTTAGAGCTCCATGAATTTATTATGCCTAGCTGGGCGACCTCTGTGTCCACTTACTTGTGAGCCATCCGACTAACTTGACTGCTGCAACGAGACGTCTGACGAAGGAGCGTTGCCACGTGCGCTGCTGTGCCATCACGTGATCGCTGAAAAAGTGTATGGGGGCATGAACGGGTAGTTCGAACCCATGGCAGTGTCATTCAAGTGATTACCGAGGGAGTACGAGGAGAAGAGACCATACCTGTGACGACCAACTGTTACTATACGCCATGGTTCCATTAGGTTATTGATAAAATACCGGTAGGGGACAGTCGACAGCTGGCACCGTTCCAGGGGATAGACAGATGGACAGTCGAGCACGCGAGTATGAGCCTTTAAAGGTTTCCGCCTTAATGTGGTAAGGCCTACGGAGTACACCTTGCCTGTTAACAGTGGTAGCTGGAAGAGTGGCCTTTATAAAGCCCGTTACAGACTAACTAATACAACTAATGAAAATACACATAACAACGCCTTAAGAATTATCACATTTTCGATGATGTAGGAGATCATCCACTGTGGTTCTGTTCGTCATTTTATCGAGAAACCTGTTACCACAAGAGCACCTTCAGGACTTTTTGTGCCATGTTTGACAGCGATGAAACATAACCATAACCGGGCGCCAGGTTCCCCTTTAAAGGGGGGGGGGGGGAGGAAATTCTGTCGCAGCGCACACCTCACTATTGCTCAAGGTATGGGACAAACTTTGCGTCCCCGTTCTTCGGTCACTACAGAGGGGGCGACCATCCCCTGTCACAAAAGCAGGGCGGGTGGCGCGACCAGAAAAGCGCATTAGTCACACAGCAACGGGACAGTCACACACAGCAACGGGACAGAGATGTACCAAATAGTTTTTGTTTACCTTTAAATAAAATAAACATGCTTTATCTGCAACGAAAACTGTTGCGAAATCTACGCAGTAGCTAATTACAATACCGTAGTTGGCCTCCACCACTACCACCACCGATATCTAACTCCGCTATCGCGTAGAACAGGAATAAATGAAATGAAACGAAAATGTCATTGAGATATTGGATTTCCATCAGCAACCTCTCCACACCAGTCAGATATTGTACCACATAACCATCGCGTTCTATACACACCACGGATAAAAGAATATTAATGCATCATCTCGGGCAACGCATCGCAGTAAGTGCTCATCCGACATATAGCGCTTGGGCTTGCGAGACTCGTAGCCCAGGACAGTGCTACATAACTGAACTTAAGTAAATGAAACTCAAATACAACCAATGTTAGGACGAGGTGACGGATGTATTATAGGGGTACATGTTTATAAATTTGGATAGCCAGCACTGCAACCAACCATGACAATGCAATATTGTCAAGTCTTTTTACAAATGTGTTTCGAGGCCTTCCGTCGCTCAGAAGAAAAATACTTCATTGCACGCAGTATTCTTGAGTTTGATTCCTGCTCTGACACTGGTCACGGAACGTCTGGAACGATGGCGACAAAGCGGCGCGCACCGAGCACGGCCACTACAAGTTAAATATTTTTGTCGTGATATGATCGCTCTGTGTGTCCGCAGCAACTAAAAGTGACACATTGCAATATTTCTGGGGTTCCGGTGTGCACGCAAGAAGGTGCTAAAAGAAGCCTGCCAGAGAGAGAGAGAGAGAGAGAGAGAGACAGAAAATAAAATGAGAGAAAGGCAGGGAGGTTAACCAGAAAATGGAGCATCCGGTTTGCTACCCTGCACTAGGGGAAAGGGGGAATGGGGAGAAAGATGGGAAAGAAAGCGAAGAGGGAAATAGACCCTCGCAAAAAAAAAAGGAGGGGGGGCTGGGGTGCTACATTTTTTAAAACAAGCCACTGTTACGCAAAAAGTTCAGTAAGGCCTTCATTGATTGTCTGTGAGCGCACAGATCATGTCGCGTTTCCAGCACTGATTGTTCAGACAAAGGTCTGTCGTCAAGGCGAGCTAACGCAGCAGCTAGTTGCCGTCTTTGCACGCTGTAACGAGGGCAATGACAGAGAACGTGCTCTATAGTTTCGTCGCTGCCACAATGACTACAAGCAGCACTGTCTTTCACACATGTAGGCTGCATATATAGGGTAAGTCTGCAACAAAGTTTCAAGCGCTACGCTAAATCAGTCTAATATCGGAATCCGGACTGCTACCTCATCTTGGTAGGGTGCTTATCCTTGGCAATTTTCTTGCGTAGCACATTATGAAGGGAAGTCTTCCTGGAATAAAGGAGATTAGCCTTAGATTTTTTCCGCATCAAGGCCTGTACGCCGATTGTCCTTATGAAACTGCAAGAGCGGAACTTTGTGCGGTACTGTGTACTGTTTTATTACGCATTCTAACAATTACTATCTTTACAAATAACCAGTGTAGCGAAGTCTCAGAACTGTTGACTGTCACCAGGCAACGTGGGTTCAAATTTGATTTTCTAATAGGTATTTTTATTTATTTAGTTTTTTTGTTTCGTGCCAAAGTGGTTACAGACACAGGCAGCAGTGGTAGCGGACAACAATCACATCAGAAGCAGTCTTTCTGACTTCCACAACAGTTTTCTGACTGAGAAAATGCCAAACAGACATCGCACAGTGAGGCCGGTGCACGGAACTTAAGCCCTTCCAAGGAATTACATACGGTTCAGCAATACCTCTTCGTCGTCATCTGCCACAGCACAAAGAAAGCACACATAGTACCTTATAGATGTGTAGTGGTTGCAAAGCGCCGCTGCAGAATTGCCAAATTTGGCGTAGTGGGTGCGGCTTTACTTAAAGTAATTACCGATGATTGATGGCACAGTAGATGGCATAAATCACCAAGTCATTCACATCATAGCATGCGAGGTTGTTCTCAAAAACATGCAAACAATAGGCTCTGTAAAGGCCACTGTACAAGCCTTCACTCTGTCTGCTGGTGTTTTGCACAGGCCTGGCAATTTTTGCAGTACCTAGTCTGTATTTGTCCTACTGTGCTGTGGTTCTTAGAGCTTCTCATTGTTGGGCACTTATCATGGCACGTGTGAGACATTATGCAACAAATCAATGCCAAAGTCATGAACCACCTGATCTTCTACTCACTGTGTTTGCTTCCTGATCGCTGTTACGTTCTCTATTTCAAATGCTTCAATGTGTAGAATTCTTATAATGCACTCCTTGTCATAATAAGTGTATACGTTGCTGAGGAAGTAGTATGTAATGTCGATAGATTTTAACACTCGTGAAGCGCAGCAGAATTTTCGGTTGGTTTTCCCCACAGTCTATAATCCATAATATTTTACAGCGTTTTCATGCACATATACAGAAAATATTATATCATCTTTCGTATAAATTGCAATATAGCACTTCCAAAGCATATGGTGAAACGCCTCAGTTTCCTCTTCGAGGAAAATGACGCAGTTTAGCATGGTATTGTGTTGTCTCGTGTAATAGCACTGTAATTGCCTCACAGTGTTGTACTCATCATTGGACCAGGTACTTTACGGGTGCATATTGAGCTGTTACGTTAAACTACCAGAGACAAATCAAGTAACTTCGTTCGAAACAAGCGCTCCTGATTGGACGAATTGCGAGATCAATCAAGTGTGCAAGGTAATTTTTTTCCTTCATATTGCTCATACTTCCAACAGTATCAATCTCACAGTAAACTTTGATTTCTAGTGCCATGCGCTTTCTACATCATACAAGGAGCAAAAAAGTAAAAATCACATTTTTTTTACTCACACAAACATTTCTACACGCCTGAAGCCAAGAGTCTGGAACATTAGGACTCATATAACTCATTTATATTTGTGAGCATTGAAAAACATGAAGTAAAATATACCTCCATAGAAGTCGTTCTGAGCCTACTGTGCTACAGATACAATAACGTGAAAAGTTCAGCGGGAAAAAGATGCTTTTTGAACTTTTCTGCCGTCTGCTCGTGAATGAGCAGTGTGAGTTCGCACTTGTTTCCGTGGCTTTCCTTGAACACGTGTCTTTCATTTTGCACAACCTTTTCTTTTTAAGTACGCCTTTTGTGTACATTACTACTTAAAGGTGGCTTCCTTCTATACAGTTGCGTGAATTATGAGTGTATGCATTTCTGCGCGGAATCACTTATGCTGTAAACGTTGAAATACAAGTGACACAGTTATACAATACAAGTGACACAGTAAAAGCTGATATCTTCGTTGGTGCCGCTACGAAGGAGAACCAAAAGTGATACATGCCTAGTCCCGCAAACCACCAAGACAGTGACAGCTCAATAAAACGAGTAATTTCTCGTCAAGTCTCTACACAAAGTGGCGCATTTTCGAGGAGGCTACAATGTAAGAAAGTAACAATCCCATGATATCTGGTACATTCACCTAAGAGGACACGAATGCAATAACATTCCCTTTCTCTCATCCCTATTTTTCTTCCCAATCAATGCATTTATTTTAACAATATCCCCCGAAATTATTCTTTGTGTTTTATGCACTTTTGACCATGCAGCGATGCCTACGGCTGGCATACATTGGGGTGTCTCGATATCTTTAAACCAGTTCCTGTGTATCACGGCGAAGGTGGCGAGAATTACAGTTGCCATTATTGTCTTAGAGAACATGTCCGAACGTTAACCAAAAGAATTGCAATGAACGTGTGTCAATGTTGCGGTTCGCGCCGAGGAGCCATGTTCGAAATTTGAAAACTGTGTTCACAAACAGGAGCAATGTTTTGAATTCCGCCCAGTCAAGGCTTCAGCGCAAGAACCAGAACGTTAACACCTTTACTTTTAAAATCAGGTTGGTGGGTGTTCGGATCCCTCCTAGTAAAGTATTTCCTCCCGAACGAATGGGCTCCTTTCCTACACGCCAATTTAACTATTAAATAGGAAGTCGCTGTGTCGCTGTTTACTAGTTTACTGCTATGCAGCCCAGTTAGGTGGACTTTCGTCTTTTGGTATAACAATAAACAGTACTTCGGCATTGTGCGAAGCACTTGCTGAAGACATCTTGCTCAACCAAACTGAGATGCAGACTACGCAGGCAAATTCGACGTTCAGCGATGTTGCCCTTCTTTTTTTTTACCTGCGTAGACGCAAAAACAAAAAGCGCAAGGCACAACGCTTGTTATAGGTTGCAACCGGATATTATACTTTTGTTGCTTTCTCTTTTTTCTTTCAGGTATGCATCGCAGGATTATGCGTTTAGAACAAATACCTCACTCTTTTGACTGCTGCAGTAGTCATTGGACTGTTTGGTCAATAAAAATAATGAAGCATGATGAAATATGTGTTTCGAAAACTTCCTTTCACATTGATTCAGAAATAGTAGGGCGACAAATCGAAGCACTCGAGTTTACAAAAATAGAGGCAGCTGCCTGTGCCGAACATACTGCACTGTGAGTAATCTTGTGAGTTTCCTTTTATGGAATCTGTTTAAACGGCACTGGGATGTTGCTGTATGTGTATTAGTCAAAATCGCAACATGACAACGTTTTTTAACTATACCTGCATGCTACATGCCACAAGAAATTTCTCATATCAATGTCGTATCACTGCAAGTAAGGCTGCTAAAAATGTTGCGTTAATAGAAGTGCTCAAGCTACAGTTGTGTCGATATGGCAATCTCTGTATGCTGGCAACAAAAACATGCCCAATGATGAGCCCTGATTTGACCTGTTGTAATTTCTGAGCACTGTACAGTTGTTTATTACCACTACACCATAATTCATCTTATATGTTGCAAAGTGCTGTCATACCTACTTCATGTCTTCAAGGCAATAGGCACACTTATGAAGCTCAAAAAAAAAACAGAATCAAATTTTCGGTGACCACTACGGCTGTGTGAACGAATGCATACGAAATATCAAAATGCATCGCTTTAACAGTGGTATACGCAAGCGCGTTGAGTCTTTCGACACATATATATTAAAGACCAACATGCATTCATTCATCGTGAACAAGGCACCCGTATCGAGTGCTGAAATTTTGATTTCGAGCACGTTTGCGGGAGGTGCGGTTTTCAGTTGGCATGAAGACAACGTGAAAATTAAGGTGGTCTTATTGCTGCACTGTTGAAGTGTCGACCGAGTAGCAATGCCGATGCGTTGGCACGTGGAATTTCTCTGAAAAACGTTGCAAATACCGCACGTGTTTATGACGTCATGTGAGTTCTTGAGGCCCTCTTTCATCAACTGTGCTTTCTGACACTCCAAATTTGCTTCCTCTCATGAACGCCGTAAAGAGAGCTCGGAGCAAAATCTTCTTGCTGAGAAGCAGGGGCATCCTGCCCAGCACTGCTTATACACTGAATACCGGCATGCCGACCTAGGCGAGCAAAAAGAAGTGGGCGCAATTTGTAACACAAAAACTAACAAAAGTTCCACAAAATGTAATCTCGGAGAGCTTCGCAATTGTGGTTCTTTACTCGGTATTTTTCAGTTTAATACGTTGTGATTCCTTGTCTCTTTCTTTTTTCCTGTGATTCGCAGTGTTTTCATTAGATATTTTGTACCAGTGTGAGAGTATTCGAAAATTTTTAATAACAAATCGAATAAACTGTTATTCGATTCTGTAGCTGTACGGGATACTTCATGCAGGGTGAAATATCAAATGACTCATGTAAAATAAATGATACAGCAGAAAAAAAAACAAGACTGTCAGAAGCAACGCACACTCAGCTTGAACACACATGACATCACAAGTATGCTGAAATGACTCGCAGCTGCCTGAAAAGTAACATAATGCAAAAGCTTCAGTAACATCCTAGGGTAACAAACTGCGTCTTGTCGATGTTTGTCTGATTTCAATTGTCTGGCTAAAAGACTATCGTGCCCCAGACCCAAGCCTACCCAGTGAGGCAGGGACGGTCTGTATGAATGGTACTTGTTTACATATGTTTTCATAGCACGTGTAATAGGTTCTTTAGAGAGGTAAAATTCATAATTGATGCTATTTGTGGCAGTGGAAAAGCGACGTCATAGATGCCATACAAAGGTTGCCTTCCGGTAGCCGCAAGGTTACTTCAGATGCCACGAATAATGTTCATATGGCATATATAGTGCACGTAAACTGATGGCAAACACTAATTTCCCGGCCACAAGAAAGGATTAACAAAAGACAAAATGTGACATCTCCGCGAAAGATATGTGGTCATATATTCACCTGTTCAATAAAATATCTAGGTTATAGTGTGGTCACGGAGTTATAATTAGAGCGTTCCAGCAAGCGTTAAAGTTCCCTCTAGAGCCTGCGCACGTGTAGGGCGGAGGGTACTCTAGAGCCTGCGCACGTTGAGTGACATGGGCTGTTTTGCTCGTGCACAATTCGGGACGCTGCATCACCGCTTTTGTGCGCAAACAATTTGATTTCATATGGCGGAAGCTTTGAAACTTTACCTTTTATTTGCTGAAGTTTTCGCATGTTTTGTGTTGTTTTTTATGTGACCTTTAAAACCCAAACGATGAATATGCAAGAAATATTTTGAAAATACCAGGAGTGATACATTTGAAAACCCTTACATAATCATTATGTGCGCCATAACGAAGGGCTCCAGAAAACTTCATCCTCGAGACTTTTTCAAAGCGCTCTCACATCGCATGGTACACGGGCCTGAAGAATTGGGCCTCCGCTGAATTTCGACCACCTCGGCCTCAATCGAGCCTCCGGCGGAGATCAGAGCAGCGACCAAACCAAAATGTAGAGAACCATTCTGTTTTTTTTGCCAGGTGAGTTCTTCCTAATGACCGAATTTTTCGCTGTCCAAAAGGTTCTTCTCCGTTATTAGATAGATATATAGAAAGATAGATAGATAGATAGATAGATAGATAGAGAGAGACAGATAGATAGATAGATAGATAGATAGATAGATAGATAGATAGATAGATAGATAGATAGATAGATAGATAGATAGATAGATAGATAGATAGATACGCTCAAGGTCGCCGAAGTTAGCTAAGAAATGCTTTGCATTAAAAAAAAAACAGCGGGGCTCAGGCACTCTGCTTTTGGACGCCGGTCGGTGCAGACGCAGGATGGTAAGCTCGTCCCGAGCAGCGACAGCGGCCGACGCCGGCCGCGGTATAGCGTCTCTCGGCGTTCCAAAGGACTACAGGATTATTCTCCTTTCGTTGCCATCAGGTGAAGCGATGCGTCGAGCAGTAGCTCTACACTGCGACGTCAGCGGCTGACCTTATCGCATCGACAACTTCAGGAAACCTCTCAAAGTTTTAGGCATGATACAGCAAGTAGGTGACATCAGGGCATATCAGATGTCGCACTTGTGGTTATTGAACATGAAAACTGAGCACGCGAAGAAGCACTGACAGACGCAGGCATTCTCAATGTCAAAGAGTGGGTATGTCTCGTCATTGACCCGATGTGGTCAGAGGTTAAGATGTAATTACACTGTCTAGCGTTTGATGTTACAAAAGACGCTACTCGATGTGCCTTCTATGAATACGGTGACGTCAAGGAGGTGACAGATGGAGAGAGAGAGAGATAGACTTGATTAATTACCGGCAGACTGCTGGGATGGGCTCCCACCTAGGGGCAAACAGAGAGACCGTGTCTCCCGGCAGCTTCCTTGGCCTGCTGGATTGCCCAAAGTTGTTTGTCCAGGCACGAACTGAGCAGTGCAGTCCGCCAACGCGCCCGAAGGCCTTCATTGGAGGCCGCGACCTCAGAATTTCTGACTAATGCTAGACATTCCCATAAGATATGGTCGAGAGTGGCTCTGGTGGTACAGTACTGGCATAGATTAGAACTATAGACGTCAGGATATATGTGGTGCATGATGACAGGGTTCGTGTATGTGCGTGTTTGTAGCTGTCGCCACTGAATGGACTGGGCCCGATTTAGCTTGGAGTGAGGCGGAGGGTACTCCCGCCTTTGCAGTCGATAGTGTTGAATTATGTCATTAAATTTAGTGAGCCGATCGTCCCATTCCCACCTCGGCGCAGAAAGGTCCGTTTGGGTGGCCGCTTCGTCTGACGTGACTCGGAACGTAAGACCTCGAGCCACGTTGTGCGCCACTTCATTCGGATTGGCCTCCGCGTTACCTAGTGGTGTGTGGGCAGGGAACCACAAGATGTGTACGTATTTGTCCGCCTCGTGAATTTTGCCTGTATTAAGAATCCGCAATGCTTCGGGGGAGATTCTGCCACTGGCGTAGTTTCGAACGGCTGTCTGCGAGTCGCTGATTACGCATGAGGCGTTAGTGTGGGCTATGGCCACCGCGATAGCCACTTCCTCTGCCGTTTCTACGTTCCGTGTGATGATTGACGCACTGCTTTTGCATTGTTGTGTGTGGTCTACGACCGCAGCCACGAAGTGGTGACGTTCCTGGTAGCGTGCTGCGTTGACAAAGACTGCCTCATGGTTGTGCCCAAACATCTTTGACATGGTCCTGGCTCTACTGACACGTCTGCCCTTGTTGTGTTCAGGGTGCATGTTTCTTGGTATGGGTGGTACTGTTAGCTTAGCACGGATAGTGCGTGGTATGTCGTGTTTGTCTGCGTATTGAGTGTGGTAAGTAATACCGAGATTACATAGAATTTGGCGGCCTGGCTTAGTCTTGGCTAAACGCTCGAATTGGGAGATTTTTTGCGCCTCAATAAGTTCCTCAGGGGTATTGTGTAAACCAAGTTGAAGGAGTAGTTCGGTGCTGGTGTTTTGAGGCAAACCTAGCGCTTGTTTGTAAATTTTCCTAATTAGGCTGTTGAGTTTTGACTTTTCCGCGGTAAACCATCGGCGTTACGCCGCCGTATAGGTGATGTGAGTTAGAACAAACGCTTGGATCAAACGGATGATGCTGGCCTCTTTCATGCCTTTGTGTTTATTGGTAATGCGCCTAATGAGGCGCATCGTGTTAGACACTCTGGCTTCAATGTTGCGAACTGTCTCTCCGTTGGTACCCTTACATTCTATGATCAAACCTAGCACTCTGATTTTGTCCACGGTTGGTATGGCGTGACCATCGGTTGTAGTGAGTTTTATATCAGCGTGTGCCTGCGCTTGGGGATGTTGTTTGGGTGGCCGACCTCTAAGTGTAGGGCGATATAGCAGTAGCTCAGATTTCTCCGCCGAGCAGGATAGTCCAGTTCCTTGTAAATACCGTTCGGCTGTGTCAATCCCCTCCTGTAATCTCTGTTCAATGGAACCGTCACTGCCGTCGCACACCCATGTCGTCGGCGTAAATGATGTGATGAAGTCCTTGGATGGTTTGAAGTTTTGAAGGAAGACCAATGAGGGTGAGGTTAAACAACATG